AGCTTAATGAGAAAAAATTAAGAGTTTTTGGTCTCTCAAACAAAATAAAAAGAGCTGTGTCCAACTAGAATTTGTAATCATATTCGACTCCATGTTTAGATTTTTTTCTCGGTTTCTGTTTTTACATGCGATGTGCATTTATTTTTAAAGCAAAAGTACATTCAATATTCTACTCAAAATGGAATGCAAAATGAACACAGACTTGTTTATTTTCTTTTTTTTGTCAAAAAAGGGCAAAGGCATATCAAATAAAACCATTGCTATCGAAAACAAGCGATGAATTACTGTTAGTTTGAATTCACCTTTTTTCATCAAATTTGAGCAAGTGAAAAAAAACGAACAAAGGAAAATAATTATTAATCGAGCATATGGGAAAAAAACAAAAATCTGGTGCACATTTCTTGAGTTAGCCGACTGAGTTTATTCTGTTATTCATTTGAGAAACGGCCGATTCAAAAGGCGATTCACAACGCACACTGTACGCTTGCTTTTATGCTGATCGTTCACACATACACAGCTATTGTGTGTGTGTTTTGGCCGCAATATCAATAGAGTGTCACTGCAGTGAAAATCAGTTCGTGTTTGTATTCCGTCAAGCAAGGACCATTTAGTAGTAGCGAAGTGATTTTGAAATTGTGTTAAGAGAAAATTCTTATTAAAAAATGAATCGTTTTTCAAATGAAAATCACAATGAAGTACACACAACATCGAAAAACAATAAAACACATTGCCATAACAAAAAGGTCATGAAACGAATAAAAACACTACAAGTTATTGGAGATCTAAAAGATTATAAAAAGTGTTGGTAGTGTTTTAAATTCTCACCATTTGAATGGAATCGTGAAGGCTTGATTTGTTTTAAGTGTCATTTGATTTGTTGAACCACAGATTAATTAATGATTTATTGAACCACAGAATTAATGCATTGTGTAAATCAAAAATCAATCTCTGGTTCCGAATGGGATTGAATCGGACAGTTGTGTGTCTCATTTTCAAAGTAGACAACCTTTCATTTGGTTATTTCAATTAAGGAGCAAAAAAATACATCGCAGACATTATATATCGTTTCACTTCATAATATGCTATTTCTCCTTATGTTGAGGGATTTTTTTCATTGTCGCTTCGCAATTTAGGCGCTTGTTTACTTTTCGAACTTGTTTATAAGAATAGGCGAAGAATTCGATAGATTCAATGAATTACAACCAGATATGTAGTTTACTGATCTTTACAATTGCACTGCCGCATGCGCTCGCGTTGTACTTCAGACCTTTGTTGGGATGCATCGTGGCTGAAAATGAATGTGTACCAAACAACAGATATGAATTAGAGTATCTGTTACACAACAAGTCCGTTTTTACAGGGTCACAGGAGTAAGACGATGACGACGGCAGTCGATTGGTGTTGATTTGCATTTTGTCGCATGTTCCGTTCCCCGACCGAGAATTTAATAACAAGATATAATATAAACAAAAAATATGACACCGCTCAATGAGAATAACAGAATTTAACACGTGAAAATGTGTCGACCAGAATCACAAGCGTATTTTTCGATGTTCGATGTTATCTGGTGTGCATAAAAGAGTTCACGACATTCATTTTTGAAATTACGAAAAAAAGAACCGAAATGACAGCAAGCTACGCCGATTTTATGTGTCGATAACACACTGTCGAACATTATTGAATTTTTTTTAATACTTTTTTCACTCTCTCTCTCTGCTCAATCTAAACATGTTTTAATACTTTGCGGCAATACAACCAAATTGATGATTATTGTTAAAATTTTGTGTGCGATCGCAAAAACTCATTTTGCATATTTCGTTCGCACAAGTTGCACGCGATTACCAAAAGTGTGTTTTACTGCAAGGGAATGAAAAAAAAGGTCTTGTGATTCAAAAGAGAGAGAAACTTAACATCGATTTTCAATAATGTACGCGAGCTGTTTTGCTCTCCATATTTGTTGCTTTTTTTGTTCGTTCGTTTGTGTTTTTTTCTAAACATGATTACACGTCTAATCCTTCCATTCGCTCCTTAGAAAAGGTGCATTGAGATATATCTGCAGTGGTATCGGTTGTTTGTAAATCGTCCGAAAATGTTTCGGTGAATGTGTCAACCGATGAAAAAAAATCATCATACATCATCATACAAACCGTTTGTGTCGGTGTTCATATTTTTAATTTTCATTTTTACTCACATCGATCGCAAATTGGTTAAATAACATGCTGAAAAATGAAATGATCTAAGCCACGGTTTTTCATCAACCATTTATCTCTTTATTTCTTAAAGATTCAAAATTTGCAAGCAATTTGCGCAATACCATTTTTCAGGTACATTTGACATGGTCATGCCAACGCATGCCATGTGAAACCACTTGGTCGCACAATTTTCGTTGTCGCACTGAACCATGTCATCAAATGAAAAACGACGGCAATGGCACCAAATTCCATGACCTTGTGTTTCTGGATTTGCTTGTGGGATTGGTTCACGATGTGGCAAAACCTGGATTGTGTGTCGCCGTCTGGCGATGTGTTGTGCTTGCTTCGGTTTTTCAAAAATGGACCATAGAAGTGGACCGGCGATTTCCATTGCGCGATTGAAAGCGCGGGTGCCTGACACAAACACAAAACAAAACGAAAAAATAACGATAACACAAAAAATGCAACAAAAACAACACAAAATGTGCAACAAAAATTCAACTCCAACAATTTAACACAGAAATAGATGATTTGACAAACATAAACGCTTACGTCGTGAATTTTGTGCCAGCTGAAATTCTATTGTTGGACACAATTTTAATATTTCGCTTTTTTTCTTGGCCATAGATCGCGTGACTAGAACAAAACATGTTAATTATTAAAAACAGAAAACAAAATGTGGAACCCCAAGTGATAAAGAATAAAAAATAAATTAATTACGTAGCGCCATGTTGACAAGACGATGTTCACCAACCGATTGAGAAATTCTCATTAAAACGCATCGTTGTTTGAAAACTTTCTCGTTATAACGAGATAATGCCAACTATACTTGTGCGTAGAATGTGTGCTGTAATGCAGTTTGACTGAGCGAGCGAGCATAAGACTCTGTGATGCTCATAAGCAACGCGCGCTCAGCCTTCCAGCATATTTCAGCAGACTGGTGTGTGTGTGTGTTGGTGTGAAATAAGAAAGGGAGCTAACAAGTATGGTGGCATTTTCTCAAAAGTGTCAGCTATTCCAAATGTTCTTTTACCTTATTGATATGGTTTTTTTTTCGGGAAATGACGATGATTGATGATTTTTTTTTTTGCAATTATGATTTAATGTTGGACCAATTGAAATGCGATAAAGGATCGGCGTCTTTGTTGAAAGAAGTACGGTCGAGTATACCGCACTCGAAATTGCACGAAGACATCGTACTGGTCGAGTACTAACGTCACTCGTCGAAGGCGACGAAGTCGAATCAAACCATGACGCACATTCATTCCTTGCATCCAAACCCTACGATTACGCAATTGTTGGACTTCTTGTCGCAATTGTTCGACTTCTTGACGCAATTCTTGACGCTCATTGATTTCGTCAGTAAAATCTGGGTTGATTGGATGACGGAGTATCGGTGCTCGACACTGTGGACATAAGCGATGCCTTGCACAAAAAAACCACATTTTTTAAGAACAAAATTTCGAAAAAAAACCATTTTTGTCTACACATATATTTCTTGGCACAGAAAAAAGTACCTGTCGTTCTCCCATGCATTCAAACAATCTGTATGAAACACATGCGTACACACTAAACTGGCCAATCCAGATACATTCTGTGCACTTAGCAAGGATTCGTAACAAATTCCGCAGCCCATTTTGTTTTATTGCTTTCTTGCAGACGATACGAAATAGACTGATTCAATTGATCTTCGAAATGTCATCATGGAATGATTTCGAAAGCAATTCTTTGTGTGTGTGTGTTTTTTTCTCTCGCTGTATAAGCAAGTCACAATAATGCATTTGAATGTGTATTTATTCACGATGCGGACAAATGTGATGCGAATTTCTCGACGAAAAAAAGAGACACCAATATCCTTCCATTGCGGGTGACAATTTTTGCAAAATGAACGGAATACATTGTTTATATGTCAGTAAACATAAATATTATGTTTGGTTTAAGTTCACCCATATCAATGCAGAAAATCACGAAACTGCCAAACATTTATCGTTTCATTGTGTTTTTTTTTGTTCAAACGTATGCACATTCTTAACCCATTTTGGACCGCGATCCTTATTTTGTTTTCAAAATGATTCAAACTTTCAGATATGAATAATATAGTCGAAAAAAGAAGTTTCCACTTCCCAGATCGATAAATTTTTTTCGCACTTAGCCAGAATGAGCAAAAATGTGCTGGTCGTTTTTCCGACCAACGGTCCCTAATGTAATCAAATGTAGGTGAAATTTTGAATTTTTTTAATCCTCAAGAAAGAATGAAAATACATTCATAGAATTAATTTTTACCATCAATATCGTTGTTTTAGACGTGTTTTATCACATTTCATAATCGTTTGAATTCATAATATGCATTTTGAATGATTTTAAGTCAGTTGGCCAACGGAGAAAACTTTATTGCAATCGTCAGCATAAGAATTTGTATCATGTTTTTATTTATATGAATAAACGGAGAATGAATGCACCATAATGGAAAAAATGATTTTGTCATCAAAAAATGCGTTTGGTCCACAGTTGCCTGGCATAATTCACAAAAATATGAATGAAGAACTGAAGAATGAATTCGAATACGCACGAAGAAATTTGCCAATGCAATCAAAAATAGCGAGTGTCAATTTGATTTCTTCTCGGCTGAATACGAATGCATTTTCGAATGACATCAGTTTGACCCAGTCAGTGAATCGAAGTAGATCCATTTTATTGATAGAAGGTGAAATCAATTTGAATCAACGTTTGCAAAATGGCACGTCGAGTATGCCTGAAAATGGCAGAGCTCCAAGAAATGATAGATAGTTATTATTATCATATTATTTGATGTGTTTGATGAATGAACGTGGCTTCCTGGGCTGTGGAACGATTCGGAAAAATCGAATGCTGAATGTCAACTTGAAAAGTGGCAAAGAACTGCCTCGAGGCAATCACGACTACCGATTCGACACGACCAACGAAATTCTCATGGCACGTTGGAACGATAACGCTGACGTCAAAATGATCACAAACTTTGAAACTATTGAGCCATTGAAAACGACCCGACGGTATGATCGAAAGCAAAAGCGAATCGCAGCATTTCATCAGCCGCACCTTATCAATTCTTACAATCAACACATGGGCGGCGTGGATTTGCATGACAATGCAGCAGCGAGCTATCGGGTCAATGTGCGTGGCAAGAAATTCAACTCGAATTCCGTTCCAAAATAACCAAGCACTTGATCACTTCCTTCGAGAAAGAGTTTGCCAGTGACGACGAGGTCGATATGGAGAATGATGACATTGACGATCCTGATTATGAACCTGATGGACTGGTAAATGACGCAGTCAAAAGTTATCTCATTGAACGGTCACCAGATGGAAAAAGTCGTCGATGCAAGCACTGCCACAAACACACAAACCAGATTTGCAAACGTTGCAACATTCACCTACACGCAAAGTGTTCCACACTCTACGAGGCCCACAAATGAATGGAATAATTTATGATGAATTCATTTTTCACTTAATATTAAGTTAGAATAGGCATTTCTATTTATTTTTTATCGTTTTATGACTAAACAAATGATTGTCATATCAAATATCAATGTTTTAAAAAGTATCTAAAAAAAATTGATTTCTTCCTCTTTTGATCACATATAGGACCAATGGTCGGATTTCCGACCACCCATTTTTACGCACGTGCACTGCACACAAATCACGAAATAAATATCGGAAGAGGAATTGTATCTAAAAATATGGTCTTTTTATGAAAGTTCTGCATCATTACTTTTGCATATTTTATTTTCCAAATTTTCTTATCTACTGAGTGAAAAAAGGTCCAAAAAACATCATTTTTCGTAGCTCGATTTGAAAAACTTGAATTTTTTTTTCCATTTTATTTTGACTCCCAATGGATAGTTCGTCTTTCAAACTTCAATTTAAAAAAAAAAGTAACCAAATTTACCACCTAGGAACTGAGATATCAGTCTGGGAAGCAACGGTCGTTTCACTGGTCGGAAAAACGACCAGCGGGCCAAAATGGGTTAACAAATAAACACACAAAAGTGACCTCAGAGAATAAGTGTTATACAACATGAAGCAAATCAATTCAAAATTACCGCCACTCTGTAAGACTTTCACATTGGATTATATCTTATTCAAATGGAGTATGATCGTCAATTTTTCTGGAATCAAATTCCCATGCCAGTTTGTCAGTCATCAATTGTGTTGGTGACTTCAGCTCTACATTATTTTGAAATATATGATTCCTGGAACGAATGAACGCTCCTCTAAAGGCGCTTGTCTCAATTTAATGGAGAGAAAAAACAATAAAAAGATTTCTATTTTATTATTTGAGTTTATTAAGGTGAATGTTGCATTCTTTACTATTTCAAATGTGTATTTTCATGTTTATTTAATGAACTTTGTTGTGTAAATTTTTTCGAGCATGTTTTGCATTCGTACGGTCTCTCCCCAGTATGTCTACGAGTATGTGCTTTCAAAATGGTAGAACGTACGAAAGATTGATTGCAAATCGTACACTTGTATTTTTTTATTTGTGCATGGGTCCTATGGTGGCTTGCCTTTTCACTCGATGATGCAAATGCTATGCCACAAAAATCACACTTATACGGTTTTTCGAGAGTGTGTTTTTTATTAATGTGACCAATTATATCGACTGGAGCAGCAAATCTAGCAGTGCACCCTGAAATAGTACACGGGAACCGTTTGATGTCTATGAGTAGATAGAAAAACATTTGAAAGCATTAGTAGTAGTTTCTGAATAATAATAAAAATCGAATTTCACGAAATTCTGTAGCTTTAGAGCAAACTCATTAAAA